GTCCAGTGGGGCAGCCCTGGTGGTGGAGCTAGCCGTCTTCGAGTGAGAGGTACTAGGACTGCTGGAGCTGGAGGTGCTGGGACTGCTGGAGCTGGAGGTTTTGCTACTGGTGGTACTGGGGTTGCTAGTGCTGGTGGCACTGGTGCACGTCGGCAGGAGACTCTCTCGCCGGAGCGGCTTCGCGAGTGGGCTGTACAGTGGGGCAGCTCTGGTGGTGGAGCTAGCCGTGCTCGTACAGCTAGAGCTGGAGGTGCTGCGACTACTGGTGCTACTGGAGGTACTGGAGATGTGCTGATGTGGGTGCTGCTGCGGGCAGTCCTGGTGGTGGCGCTGGACGTGCTGGAGCTGCAGGTTCTGTAAGTGCTGGCCCTAGAGGTGCTGGTGCTGGTGTTCCTGGAGTTGGCCGTGCTGGAGGTACTGGTACTGGAGGCACAGGTGCTACTGGAGGTGCTAGCCATGGAGGTGCTGATATTGGAGGCACAGGTGCTGCTGGAGGTACTAGAGGTGTTGGTATTGTAGGTGCTAGTGCTGTTGTTCCGCGAGTTGGGGGTACTGGCGGTGTTGACACTGGAGGTGCTACTGGAGGTACTGGAGTTGGTGGTGCTAGTCGACAGGAGTCGCTCTCGCCGCAGCAGCTTCGCGAGTGGGCTGTCCGTTGGGGCAGTCCCGGTGGTGGAGCTGGAGGTAATGGTTTTGGGGGTGCTGTTGCTACTGGAGCTGGAGGTTCTGGGGGTGTGACTACTCAGCCGTAGCAGTCCGCGCTTCGTCACCTTCTCAGTCTCCCGCCTGCTGCTACTGAGTTCCCGGTTGCTGGTTCTACTCCTCCGCTACTGTTCCCACCGACTGTCCAGTCTCAGCCACAGCTACTGCCTGGCTCCCCTACTGCCTGCTCCTGCTCCTCACACTGCGGTGACAAAGTTCTTCACTGAGCCACGAGAGCCTGTGTCACGTCCTGTCACGTTCTCGCCGTGCTGTGCGTCCTCGTCCTCCACCTGTCCCTGGCACACACATCATGGCACTTCGTCCTTCCTCTGTTCCACAGTGTGTCTCCTCCTGCATCTTCTCTTCCTCACGTTCCTGACCCTGAGTCAGACCTTGTCCGTACTGCCAGTCCGACTGTCACTCGTCTCCTTGCCACGGTTGTGGCTGACCCTAATTTTGAGTCTACTGCTGCGTTTGCCTTAGTTGCTGAGCTTGTTGACTTTGTTGCTATGCGTGGCCTTGACTACACTGCGAGTCTTGTTTTTTACTCTTCCTGTCCTCCGTCCGTCCGGGGTGAGCTTGCCCTTGGCTGTGACATTCTTGAGGACAGGCAGTTTGAGCTGGAGTGCCTAGCGGCCTCTGCACCTCATCTCGCGTCCACGCTACTTTGCCCTGAGGGAGACCCGGATGCACCAGACATCCCGACCCCGCGCACTTACGTAGAGGTGATCACGGTTCCGTACTCCACTCAGTGGCAGATAGCCATGGATGCAGAGATGGCTTCCTGGAAGTCCACAGGCACCTACGTCGACGAGGTTCCGCCACCTGGGGCGAACATAGTCGATGGCATGTGGATTTTCAGGGTGAAGCGGCCGCCGGGTTCTCCGCTTGCCTTCAAGGCGCGTTATGTTGCACGAGGCTTCAGTCAGCGTGAGGGGGTCGACTTCTTCCAGACCTTCTCCCCCACCCCGACGATGACCAATCTTCGGGTGCTACTGCACGGTGCAGCACAGCGCGACTACGAGCTGCACTCCCTCGACTTCTCGACAGCCTTCCTGCAGGGCAGCCTTCAAGAGGCTATCTGGTTGCGCCATCCACGTGGCTTCACTGGGTCGTTTCCTCAGGGTACCTTGTGGAGTCTTTGGCAACCAGTCTACGAGCTACGAGAGGCGCCCCGCGAGTGGCACGACACACTGAGGACTACACTTGCGGCTCTTGGCTTCGCTCCCTCGACTGCTGACCCTTCACTATTTCTGCGCACAGACACTTTTCTGCCGACGTTCTACGTTCTCGTGTGCGTGGACGACTTGGTTTTTGCTACTGCTCACATTGAGGCTCTGGCCTTGGTCAAGGCCGAGCTGCACGAGAGACACACCAGCACTGACCTGGGTGAGTTATGGAGCTATCTTGGCTTGCAGATCACCCGGTACAGAGCACGCCGCACCATCACCCTCACTCAGTCACACATGGTGCAGCAGGTCCTTCAGCGCTTCGACTTCACGTGGTCCTTGCCACAACCCACTCCTTTGTCTACCGGCCACTCGCTCTCAGCTCCACCTTCGGACGAGTCCGTAGAGCCGAGTGGTCCGTACCCAGAGCTTGTGGTTTGCCTCATGTACCTGATGACGTGCACACGACCTGACCTCGCGTACCCTCTCATCCTCCTAGCTCGCTACGTTGCTCCCGGAAGACACCGAAAGGTGCACTGGGAAGATGCAAAGAGGGTATTGCGTTACTTGTGGGCATGGGGATCGTGCTTGGAGGACCGAGTTCAGTTGTTCTCACCGGTCACTCAGACGCTTCTTGGGCTGACGACCAGACGATTCACCGTTCGACACAGTGGTACAGTTTCAGCCTTGGCACTGGTTCTGTCTCGTGGATGTCCACTCACTCTTCTTCTGTACTTAGTTCTAGCTGTGAGGCCAAGATCTACGCTGGGGCTATGGCTGCACAGGAGCTCCGCTGGCTGACCTACCTGCTGACCGACTTGGGTGAGCGGCCTCGTTCTCCTCTAGTTCTGTACGTTGACAACAAGGCCATGATTGCCTTGTGTCAGGACCAGAGACTGGAGCACAGAACGAAGCACATTGCTCTCCGTTACATCCTCACGCGAGAGCTGCAGCAGCGTGGTCAGATTCGTCTTGCTTACGTGGCCGCACGGGCCAACACTGCTAATGTCTTCACCAAGGCCCTTGCGTCTAGTGATCATCAGTGTTTCTACACTGCTCTTGGGCTTGTGCCCACTCTGCCTTACTTGCTTGTCTCTTGATCTTGCTCTTGTTGTACATTGATATATATGAGTATACCTGCATGCTTATACTTGCTAGGTTGTGATCTGTGTACTGCTCTTGCTATTATAAAGTTTGCATGTGAGCTGGCCTTGTGGCCACTTGCTTGTGCTCGGAATGCGTGGTGATCTTGAGATCCATCTTGAGCTTTGCTTTGCTTCTTCTCTTGACTGGTCTTGTGACCATTGCTCGCTCTGGCTATCCCCCAATTCGCCTATGGGGGTGTGTCAAACATTATATGTTAATCTTGTACTAGGCTGTAGAAGGTTTAGCCTTAGGGGGTACACAATATCTCTCGACATTGTACTTGTACCTCCCCTTTGACCTAATGCCTTCATCCCTTAGTATTCTAACAGTTTCACGTCTCTCACTCCTTCCTCCTCTCTTCGAAGCACCCTCTCCTCCGTATATAAGGCATTCACATGTGGGTTGTGGGGGCCCTTCGTCTCTGCCCTCTTTCCTTCACTAACTCACCTACCAGCCAGTGCCGAGAGGACACGGTATTCACGTCTCTCATCCCATCCCCTCCTGTCCGAAGCACCCTCTCCTCCGCATAGAAGGCATTTGCTTGCGGGTTATGTGGACCCTGTCTTTCCTGCTGTACGTTGGTGCATCTTAAATTTTCTTAAACCTCTCTCTCAAATGGTCTGTTGTATTGATTCAGCAGGGGTATAGACATGCAGTTTGACTCGTGATACCCTTGGGCCCTCTGACCCTTTAACCCACCCCTATGACCCCCCCCCTTGAGTGACCCTCTACCCCTCCAGCGTGTGGAGGATGTCCCCTAGGTGCAGCGGCCTAGGGGTGCGCTGGCTTAACTCCTGCCCTGGCCTTGGTGTGCAGGGCGTTCGCCTGGGAGCGCTGGAGGGCCACTGACCAGCGCTGGCTGAAGTGGCAGGCCATCTTCTTAGCGGATTTCGCCAAGGGGCTGGCCCTGAAACGGTTCCTAGCTGCTGCTGTGGCCAGCAACTTGAGGAACGCCGTCGTGGGGGGCGCGTTTGCCCTGTAGGTCTCGACGGCCAGGGCGCAGAACACCACGTGTTCGGTGTGCCAGTAGTAGTCCCTCTCCTTCTGCTTCTGTGCCTCCCTTGCAGCCCAGCCTGGGGGGTTGCGGGCTGTGGGGTCTCGGTTCTGCAGCACAGGGTCGGTGATATTTGTGTCTGTGATCCATGTTTCTCCACTGTCCAGGTCACGTACAATCACATCGGCCTTCTTCGGGTCATCCGGCGGTGAGTACATTGCATTCTCTAGGTATACCACCAGCTGTGCCTCCCTTGCCATTTTGGCCACGGCGAAGGCCAGCTGGTTGTGTGTGCGCGTCCTGTCGGAGTAAGTGGTTGGGTAGGCTGCAGTTGGTTAAGAGTTCTCCACACTCGCACACGGTGGGTACATTCTGTCGGATGCCCATGCGAAAGGCCGGGGCTGCTCGGAATTGACCTGGTGAGAAGCAAAGGTCTCTCCCTTCCCCACGCACTCACCAGCCTGTGCCTAGCGGCAGTCAGAGGAACCAAATCTCGCATGCCCTCGCCCTCTGTCCGAGGCACCCTCTCCTCTGCATACAAGACACTCACATGCACGTCGTGGGGGCCCTCCGCTCCCCTTACAACTCACTCACTTTTTCCCTTCCCGCTCAATTCTGCCACTCACACACCAGACAGTGCCTAGCAGAGAGGGGATTCACGTCTCTCACTCCCTCACCCTTTGTCCGAAGCACACTCGCCTCAGCATAAAATGCTTTCGAGTGAGGGTTGTGGGGACCCTTCGTCTCCATCCTCACATTCACCTCCACCACCTGATCATGGACAGAGGGAGATGCGGTAAAGGGAAAGAGGGAAAAGGTAGATTCTTGAGGCGCCACAAAAGTCCTCAAAAGTCATGAGGCGCCTCAAAATTCCCTCCATCTCCGCCCTCACATTCACCTCCACCACTTCACCTCCCGCCCTCTCTGCCACCGAGAAAGTTGCTCATGTGCGCATCGAAGTAGCGGATGAAGCCTAAACAGTCGCATCGCTAGTGGGGATAGGGGGGTGGGGCATGGGAGAGCCCTTTCTCTATCGTCTCCACCCCTCCGATGAAGTTCCTCATGTGTGTGTCGAAGTAGGGGATGAAGGCCAGACAGTCACAGCCCTGGGGGGGATGGAGGGATGGGGAATGGGGGAGGGGAAGGGGTTGTGGAGGTGGAAAACAAAACCAGGAAGCTGGGTGAGGAAGTTGCTCATCATGTGCTTGTCAATGTAGCGGATCAACCCCAGGCAGTCACAGCCCTTTAGCATCCCCACAGCAAACCCACAGCAACCCCACCAGCAAACCCACACGCAGCAACACCACCACCTCTTCTAATAGCACGCACCTTCTTCAGAGAGTGGGCATTCTTCCCCAGCCCGTCCTCCCTCCCTTGCTTCTCTCTCCTTGCCCATACCCACGCACCTTCTTTAGAGAGTGTGCGTTCTTGCCCAGCCCGTCCTCGCCGGCATCGAAGGCGTTTTTGCAGTAGTGGGGCTCGTGGGGGTCGCCATACGGCACCACCATCTCACAGACGCTCAGCCAGTGCGCAATGCCCCTCCTATCGCTGCTGCCATCGTTGTAGGCTAGTGAGTGCGGCACCCGGCCTTCTTTAGGTGTAAAACCTACTCAGAAACTCCATTGGAAAAACAAGAAGCAGGGGAAGGAGAGGGCGTGCATTTGGGGGGATCAGGGGAGAGTGTGGAAGGGGGAAAGGGAGGGAAAAAGGGAGGAAGGGAGGAGATTAAGGGGAGTGAAGAGGCGCTCATGGGGTTCGCCATACGGCACCACCATCTCACATAAGCTCAGCCGGTGCGCGCTGCCCCTCCTGCTGCTGCTGCTGTCGTCATACGCTAGGGAATGCAGCACCAGACCTTCTTTAGGTGTAAAACCTACTCGGAAACTCCACTGGAGATTGAACGGGTGGGGTCGAGGCCGGGGGTGGGGCAAGAGATGAGGGTAAGAGAGAGAGGGAAGGGATGGAAATTGGGAAGAGATGCCCCTCCTACCACTGCTGCCATCGTCGTATGCTAGGGAGTGTAGCACCAAGCCTTCTCTAGGCATGAACCCACCTCCACCCACCTTTTGCCACTCCACAGCGTATCCATTCACTCGGAAGCTCGGCCCCTTGGGCTACACTATTCTGATGGGCCTCAAATCACAGCGGTCCACGCCCCCCCTGCCCGTCATCTCTAAGCAATCCCATTGGACCTTCTGCCACTCCACACCGCATTCAACCCCTCTCTCACCCACCCACCCACCTTTTGCCACTCCACGGTGTATCCATTCACGCGAAAGCTCGGTCCCTCAGGCTGCTCAATGCGGATGGGCTTCAAGTCGGAGCGGTCAATGCCCCCCCTGTCCGCCCTGGCCGTGTAGTTGCGCAGCAGGTCGGGCGGGGGCAGCGGGATGAGCTCCCTATCCTCGCACCTGATCACTTCCATGCTCTGTATGGGGTTGGGGAGGAAGGAGCGGCAGCAGTAGTAGCAGCATGGGCAGGGGAAGGATCAGACTGCAGGAGGAGATAGGGAAAGGGAGCGGGGTGATGAGCGGGGGTGGCTTCAAGTCAGAGCGGTCTACACCCCCCCCCGTCCGCCTCGGCTGTGTAGTTGCGCAACGGGACGGGCGGGGGCAGCGGGATGAGCTCCCTGTCCTCGCACTTGATCACTTCCATGCTCTGAACGGGAGCAATGGGGGAAGATGGAGCAGCAGCAGCAACAGCAGCCGAGGCAGGGGCAGGAGCAGAAGCGGATTGAAGGAAGGAGATAGGGAAAGGGAGGGGGGTGAGGAGTGGGTGGTGGCTTCAAGTCGGAGTGGTCCACGCCCCCCCTGTCCGCCCCGGCCGTTTAGTTGCGCAGAGGGTCAGGCGGGGGCAGTGGGATGAGCACCTGATCACTTCCATGCTCAGTAATGGCAGCGGGAGAAGAAGGGGCGTGGGGGTTCAAAAGGTGTGGAAGGGGGAGATGGGAGTGCAGGGAGGTCAATCAAGTTTCGGGTGGCGGCAACAGGATGAGCTCCCTGTCGTCACACTTGATCACTTCCATGCTCTGTAATAGCAGAAGGGATTGGGACGGGTAGAGGAGTGAAGACTGGGTAGTAAAGACTAGGAGGGGGTTTCGGTGGGGGCAGCGGGATGAGCTCCCAGTCGTTGCACTTGATCACTTCCATGCCCTAGCCAACAGAAGGGGGTTGGGACGGGTAGAGGAGTGAAGAGTGGGTAGTGAAGACTAGGAGGGGTTTCCGGTGGGGGCAGGGGGATGGGCAGGGGGGGGAGGGAGGGGAGGGGGGGACATAGTTGTTATAAGGGGTATAGAGGGTTATAAGGGGTTGAAGGGGTATATGGGATCCAGGGGTATAGGGGTGTACAGGGGGTATGGGGAGTATAGCGGTTTAAGGGGTATTAAGGTTATAGGGGTACAGTGGCTTCGGGGTTTAGGGGTATAGGGGATATATGGGTTGTGCGGGAAATAAGGGGTATGCGTGTGTGCTGTTAACGAGACAGTGTTTCACCTCCATAGGCCTGGCGTATGCATTGTCCAAGGAGCAGTCAGAGGGGCACAAGGGCTTGTGAGGCTAACGAGACAGTGCTTATATAGGGTACATCTGCTCTGCTCACTTGCACGTCTACACGTATGTCTATGCCCTCCACAGGCTTGGCGTATGCATTGTCCAAGGAGCAGTCAGAGGGGCAACGGCAAAAAATGGTTGTTTTGGCGAGGCAGCGAGAGGGGTGGTCCGCTTCAGAGTAGTAACCCACACACCTAGAGATAAGAAGGGGCATAGAGGAGGGGAGATACATTGTGGATAGAATGAGGGGATTCGCTAATTGTCTAATGAGAATAATCAAAACATGCTCTGCCTATATTGAATTAAAAAAAAAAAAAAAAAAAAACACACACACACACACACACACACATGAAAAGCCATGGAGTCAAATTTGTTAGAGAGGAATCTCAAAGATTCTCAAGCGAGATTCGCGTCAGACGAAGACCCAGTTCGGCGCCCCTGGCACTGACGCGGCGGCCCAGCCACAGGTGCTGGCACGTGCTCAGCGTCAATCGCGTGTGGTGCCACAGGTGTTGCAGGTGCCTCCGTCGCCACTTGCGCCACAGGTGCCGAGGGGTGCTGCTGGTTGGCGGTTTTGTTGACTTCGCCACTGCGCAGCAACAGGTCGACAGCAATGGGCGCGATATCTTTGTCGTCCGCCCGTCGCTTGTTGCGGCGGTCGCCTGAAATTTCACGGGCGTCTTTCTCGTTGTCCGGTCGATTCGGGAACTTGGCGTGCGAAGATTCACCTCGAGTGTTGGGCGCCATTGAGTCTTGATTGTAGTTCAAAATGTCCGATAGCAGCGTGGAGGGTGATTGAAAACGAGGAAGGGTTTTCACCCTCGCCAGGTTGAAGTCCGAAAAAATCGGGAGGGGACTCGGAACCTCCAAAAAAATCGGGATGGGGCTCGGGAACTGGGAAATGAACTTGAGCGATTGTAAAATGAGAGTCGTGGGTGGACGAAGAATTGCCTCCAACCCACAAATGTACATTATGAGAAGGCGATTAGCTCCCTTCGACGATACACAAAAATTGTGTTACAATCCGATTCGCTTTCACAATTCAGTACGTAAATTTGAAAGCGATAAACGCTTTGAAATTATAAATATTGTCTTCCACCCCATCCCCTCTTGCTTCTCATCTTTCAAACCGTGGCCTTCAGAGCCTGTCCTAATTCAATATAATCGATTGCAGTAAGCGAGGAAAGAAATAATCATTGTAAAAAATCCAATTGCAATTGTATGAATCGATGAAAAAAAAACATCAATATGAAAAACAAGGATATGCGCCTGTTACAATCCTAAAAAGGACTTAGCCAGGGATCGGCTCAGGGTTGTTCGCAGGTAGTGTTGCAGTGGAAGTATTGACCTCAGGTCAAAGTGAATGTAAAATGACTGAGATGATAAAAGCATGCAAATATCGAGTTTATATAGAAAATATAGGGAATACAAAAAGTCCTAGACTAGCCATGTACTCTAAGGGGTACATTCCCTTATTGCAGCGAAACTGTTTCGAAACTATTCCTGCTCTTTTCATTTGAAATGTTTCTGCCTGCATCGGTCAAGATCTGACGGTTGCTGGCGTCGCTTCGACTCTTCTGACTCCTCAACTTCATTCTCGATAGAGTCGGCTCGTGCAGCGTACAGGTGTCAAACTTATATGCTGCACATTGTGTAGTGTGTAGTGGGGTAACCCATAAGGGGTACAACCCAATTAGGGTTAGTACTTGTACCAACTTCCTGTTCAATGCATTCATTCTCGTTTGTAACTTTGACATGGAATCAGAGCAGGTTCCTTGGGCCCACTAACTGCTGTGCTGCTAGTACCCCGTTTCCCTAGGCCCGTCGCGCCCCTAGGCCCGTCGCGCCCCTTAGGACCGTAGTGCCACCCCACGGCCCCTTGGCCCGTCGCGCTCATCGGCCCCATCGCCCCTAGCCCGTCGACCCCCGGCCCGTCGCCCTAGGCCCGTCGCCCCCGGCTAGTCGCCCGTCGCCTGTCGTCACCTAGCCCGGTGCCCCGTAGGCCCGTCGACCCCCGGCCCATCGCCCCTAGCCCGTCGACCCCCGGCCCGTCGACCCCCGGCTCGTCGCCCTAGGCCCGTCGCCCCCGGCCCCTCGCCCGTCGCCCCCGGCCCCTCGCCCGTCGCCACCTAGGCACGTCGCCCCGTGGCCCGTCGCCGTCACCACCTAGCCCGGCGCCCCGTAGGCCCGTCGACCCCTAGCCCGACGTCCCTAGCCCGTCGACCCCCGGCCCGTCGCCCTAGGCCCCTCGCCCCCGGCCCGTCGCCCGTCGCCACCTAGGCCCCTCGCGACTCACGGCCCCCTCTCACGACCCACGGCCCCTAGGCCCCTCGCGACCCCCGGCCCCTCTCGCAACCCTAGGCCCCTCGCGACCCACGGCCCCTCTCGCGACCCTCGACGCGTGACCCACGGCCTTTAGGCCCCTCGCGACCCACGGCCCCTCCCGTGACCCACGGCCCCTTGGCCCGTCGCGCCCATCGGCCCCTTCGACCCCAGGGCCCGGCCCCCTTTTCGCCCGTCGCGCCCCTCGGCCCATTCGCCCGTCGCGCCCCTCGGCCCCTTCGCCCCTAGGCCCCGGCCCCTTGGCCCGTCGCGCCCCTAGGCCCGTCGCGCCCCTTAGGCCCGTCGCGTCACCACACGGCCCCTTCGCCCCTAGGCCCTGGCCCCTTGGCCCGTCGCACCCCTCGGCCCCCAGGCCCCTCGGCCCCTAGCCTAGGCCCCCCCTCGGCCTCCTGTTTGGCCCCTCGGCCCCTCGGCCCCTAGGCCCCTAGGCCCGGCCCCTCAGCCCCTTGGCCCCTTGGCCCCCAGGCACCTCGGCCCCTCGGCACCTAGCCTCGGCCCCTCGGCCTCGTGTTTCGCCCCTCGGCCCCTAGTCCCCTCGGCCTCTCGGCCTCGTGTTTGGCCCCTTGGCCCCGCCCCTTGGCCCCTCGGCCCCTAAGCCCCTTGGCCCCGCCCCTTGGCCCCTCAGCCCCTAAGCCCCTTGGCCCCTCGACCTCGTGTTTGGCCCCTAGGCCTTGTGTTTGGCCCCTCGGCCCCGCCCCTTGGCTCCTCGGCCCCAAGTCCCCTCGGCCCCTCGGCCCCTATGACCCTTGGCCCCTCGGCCCCTCGGCCCCGCCACCCTCGTGTTTGGCCCCTCGGCCCCTAGGCCCCTCGGCTCCGCCCCTTGGCCCCCTTTCCTACTGCTGCTACTGCTGCTACTGCTACTGCTGCTACTGCTGCTCCTGAGTACTGCGCCACTATGGCTTCGCTTCGAGTCCTAGCGTTCGATCACGAGGGCAGACCGGTTGCATTTGACACGTGGCACGATGATCTGCAACTGTACCTACTGAGCGATATTAATGACAGTGTCTCGCTGTTTGACCACATGTCCGGTGTCGCTCCGGCCCCTCCCGCCACAGCTGACGGTGCGACTCGTTCCCAGTGGCTGTCTCGTGACGCTACTGCCCGCTTAGCCATACGCAACCACCTTCCGGTGGCCGAATGTACTCACTTTGGACAGCACAGGACAGCACAGGACAGCACAGGCCCTGTACGACGCTGTCGTTGCTCGCTACTCCTCCCCTGCCACTGCCGCTCTAGGCCGACTGCTACTGCCCTACCTGTTCCCTGAGCTGTCGGCTTTTGCCACCGTAGCGGACCTGGTTACCCACCTGCGCACTAGCGACGCTCGCTACCGCGCTACCGTCCCTGCTGAGTTCCTTGCCACGAACCAGCCCCCCATGTTCATCACCCTCTACTTCATAGTCTCTCGCCTCCCTGACTCTCTTCGCTCTGTCAGGGACCACTTTCTCTCCCTTGACCCCACCTCCCTCACTGTTGACCTCCTAGAGCAACATCTCCTCGCAGCTGAGACTAGTGCAGTTGCTGTAGGTGCTGC